AGCCCCGCGGACCTGCCAAGTCTCGCCCAGCTGGGGCTGCCGGCTCGCAGCTTCGCCCCGCAGAGCGGGCTGGTGGTGGTGAGGGGATGGAGGGAGGGCTGCTTGTTTTCTCCAACGACATTGCAGGCGCTCACCCAGTCCTTGCCGTGGCCCCAAGCCGCAACTTACTCGAGTGGAAGGAAGCAAGGCCTCGCCAAAGATGGTTGAGAAAGACCGTGAGCCTCTCCACCCAGGATCTTGAACAAGCCAAGGTGGTGTTTTGTTATCTTCGTAACGGTGGCAAATAAGTAAGAAGAGAGCACGCTATCTTCAGATAAATTCAATCTGAAATCCTCCCTGGAGGTGGAAGAAGGGGCTCCCTTCGGTTTAGTTAGTGGTTTGGAGCCCTGTTCGCCTTAAACTGAGCCACAAAAGAATGGAAGACACCCCCTGGGGTGGGGAGAAAGCCCTGGTGTAAGAGACACACGTTTTGCTTGCAGAGAAAAAGCCACTGGGGCCAGATTGAAACATGGCATGTTCAGTTCATGGAGGGGTTTTTTTTTGTTTGTTTGGTGGGTTTTTTTTAAAATGGGGGAATGATACTGAGTAAACAAGATGTAATAGCTAGGTCTTTAAATTCAAGAAGGGAGGTGGTGTACAATGTAACAAGCACATACTGTACATACAGCAGGTGGTCAAAGCCTACAGAACACAAAAAGATACTCATATAAACCCCATAAAGACCACAAAGGTGTGTATAATCGTTAACACATCTGAGAGGGAGACAATATATTACCGCCAGGTCAGGCATGCTATTTATCCAGCCCTGTGTCCTGGATCCTACATGATTCACAGACCTGCGCTCAACTGAGAGGTCCTTTAAAACGGGAGAAACCCCATGTCAAGCTAATTGTGCGCACCCTAGAAATAGGACAAAATAGAAAGATCTGAAAAAGTGTCACCATCACCTCTTACAAAGGCTCACTCCTGTTTGATTGGACTCTGAAGATACTACTATTACTCGAGTAGCAGTGAAAACTCCCAGCATAGAATACATTCCAGTGTGTCCTATTTTAAATTAGATCAATTAATATTTGCAAAGTACTGGGAAATTGCCTTTTTTTTTAATCTCAGTATGCCTCTCCTTTGCATTAACTTCCATTGAGGAAGCCATTGTGCTCTGTTATGGAGACACGGTATGATGTAAATTGAAGTAGCATTTTTTGCCATTTAGGGCTTTTCATGTAAATGAACCGAATGATTGTCTCACAGAAGAGTTGTTGGTCTTTCATTTCAAACAGCAAATTGTGTGGAGTTGCACATAAATTGGGACACATATTTACACGTGTTTAGAAAGACCTATGTAGTCTGCAAATTTTGCCAGCCACGGCATCACATTTATCAGTGTTACAAGATGATGAAATTGAAACTCTCACCTTCTTTTAGTCTGAAAACGGTGCCAGTACTCTGTGGGTTGAGTTTCAGCTTTACCTGGGCTTCATTTCATTTGAAAGGAGTCCTTTTTCCTTCTCCCAAAGGTGGGCCTTTATTAATATGCATGTGAAATGTTGCATGTATTGAAAAGTATCCAAAGATCTGCTAATCTGCAATAATGAGATGCTACACGTATTGCAATATATGGAATTTCATAATGTGCATACCATAGTAAATCCTACGTTTCCTAGATTTGAAATCTTTGTTTACTTCAAATACTTTCCTGCCCCTCCCCCACTCCCTTTTCTCAAGAGTTGAAAGCACGGCACAGCAGTGTTTGAATGGTTAGAAGCATTGCACTGAAGTCTGGATTGCTTATCGAAAAGAGTCTTCGGTGTTGAACTGCCTCATGACTTCACAATGCCAAATACTTTTTGAGCAGAGCTTTGTACAAAGCCGTGTTTTGGTCAAGGCTCGACTGGAGGAAATTAGTTTGAAAGCACAATTCATCATTTGCACAAACGACGACAGATAACATTGCATCTGTTTTTAAAAACCATAAACAACCAAAAATAAAAGAGAATTTCTTGCAATTTATCTCAGTTCTATTTTTACAAAGAGGATTTCGGAGAAACCCCTTTGCCAGGTAGACCAATAGTTAAAAAGCAAAGCACCCATCTTAGTCCATTCTATGCAATCATTGAATTTCACAGCAGAAGAAAGCTGTTTTTAGTGTAATTTTTTTTTCTTAGAATGGCACCACCCCTCTTCCAAAAAATCAATACAAAGGTTCATTCTATTATTCTACATATGTAAGGCTATCTTGGGCACCACTCCACTTCGGACAACAATAGAAGTAACTCCACTACAAGAATGAAATAAACTATTATTTGAGTGCTGTAGATAAGAAAGGACAGGACAAAAAAAAAAATCATATCATTATACCAAATAGAAACTAAAGGAATTCCAAACCCTTTTGGATTTTGTTGTTGCTGTTTTTATTGCTAATTCTCAATGTCTGAGTTTTTCCTCCAATCAGTGTATTGCAAAAGCCCAGCTTTTTTTTTTTTTTTTTTTAATCCTTTTGTGGTTTGAAGCCAGCTTTGCCGGCGTATATAGATAGCAGTCTTCACATCATACTTCCCCCCCAAATTCCACTATGAAATTTGGAAATTCCTTTGTTAGGCACAGTATACAAAGGTGTGTTCCTTCAGGGATAGAAGAAAGACAAAAAGAAACGCCTTTTCTTTATCTCACTATCAAATAGCCTTACAAACACCACTCCTCAACTGCCAGCCCCAGCCCCGTGACTTGAGCTGCACATTTTTCAGCTCAAAACTAAACTAGGCCTAGGCGTTTATAGAGAGTTTAATATGTTCAATTTGTTGGCATGTTTTTAAAGCAATTATTACACTGTGCTAACATTATAATTGAAAGATCTGTAGCTGAGTGGCCAGCAAAGGAAAAAAAAACCCATCATTTATTTTTCACATCAAAATAGTGATAGAATCAGGATTTTCTTTTTTTTTTCCAAAAACATACCCTTGAGAGAAACGATAAGCAGATTTAAATTATTATTAGTCGCAAGAAGAGGAGGTCTAGGAAAGGATTTCCCTTATCCTTTGTTAGTGATTTCATAAATAGATTTTCTGTAGCAAAGCCACCTCCTTGCTCCTAAACCCTAATTTGGAAATGCCTGCAAAGGCCTTTCGTCACTCAGACACCTGAAGGGTTGGGGACTGTGTTCTATCAAAAGATAAACTGAGGCATATTACATGTTAAGACTTGATTTGAGCAAAAATCTATGCTAATTGGGCAGTGCCAAACCGGAAGTGGTTAGGAGCGCTCCACCTACAGGAGCCAAGGAAAGACAACGAAGGTGCAGAAACAAAGAAATGATTTAATTGGCTGTAGCTTAAAGCCTAGTTGGCTGTGTATGACTGGCTGCCCTAGCGCTTCGATTGTGTAACCTTGAGATATTTTCAGGCTTAGATTTTGCTTCGCTTACAGAGGTCACCACAGAATCAGAGCCACCTCAGTCCGATGGCCTCCTTGTTTAATTCGCAGTTCAAAGTTGGGCATTATTTAGGAGACCCCTAGATATCTCAGTGACATCCTGGCTACTGGATGGACCCACTAATCTTTATCTCC